ATCTTTGGTGTTCCTTGGCATTCCTTGATGTTTATGTTCCCCTGGAGTGTGTCTGTGTGTATTCTGCTCTTTTTATAACTCAGAAGTGATTAGGTTTAGGACCTGCTCTACTCTGGTATGACCCATGAACTTAACAAAAGAAAACACCTATTTCCAAACAATGTCCTGTTTATAGGTAGAAGGGTTAGATTTCAACACACATTTTGGGAAGACACAATTCAATTCATAACAGGAAGTCATTTTGTCAGACCTTAGACACACAAACGAGTACATTTTTCCACCAGCTTCCCTTATAAGAAGAGTCTTATGTTATGGTGACTAGGTGTTTGCTTCTGCCCAGGATGTTTGCAGTTTACACATGTTGTCCCAGTGTAGTTATTAATGCCATGCCCTTTCACTCTCAGAAGTACCCTGCTTTAGATGATACATTATATGATCACTCTATTTATGGAGAAAGTTGTAAACTGGTGTCATCTGAGAAGATGAAACTAGAGAAACAGGGTGGTACACCCTGCAGAGACTTTGAGGATGACGTGGCATCTGGAAATGACAGCCAAATGTGTAGCCTTTGGGGTTTGAGAAGAAGAAATAGATGAAAAGCCGGGTTTCAGCTTGAGTGTCTGCAGTGTGCTGAACCAACAGTTTTCAGTGTCACTGCTTAATCTAAGACAGTGGTTCTCAATTGGGGATGATTTTTCCTCCAAGGGGACATTGGGCAATGTCTGGAGACATTCTTGGATGTCACAGCTGGGGGAGAGGGTGCTGCTTGAATCTACTGGGTGGAGGCTAGGGATGCTGCTGAACATCGTACAATGCCAAGGACAGCCCCTATGACAGAGAATTACCCAGCACAAAATGTCACTAGTGCCAAAGTTAAGAAACTGTGATCTAAGAGATGCAAAGAAGAACAGGAAGGAGGAGGAAATGGACTTTGGCATGAAGAGTGTCTTAGGCTGGGTTCTCTAGAGAAGCAAAACTAGTGAAGCATGTATATATACCCTGTTTCTCAAAAGGAGAGTAGTTATTATCTGCAGAGGATGGCAGGGCTTTGCTCTAAAATCCTAAGGGTCGGTGCTCTGATTCACCCATAGGGGCCTGCCAAAGACTCCAAACAGCATCTCTGTCTGCCACTGACACTTCAAGCACTGTTGAATCAGCCAGATCGTATGGCCGAGGTGACACAGCAGCTTGCACGCCAGCCCGAACCTGTTATAGAGCCTTCTCTTGTTCTGTGCCCCACTCAAAACTAGCAGCTTTTCAAGTACTTTATAGATAGGCCGGAGTAGCACACCCAAGTGACGGATATGTTGCCTCCAAAATCCGAAGAGGCCTACCAAGCATTGTGCCTCCTTTTTAGTTGTGGGAGGGGCCACATGCAATAGCTTATCCTTCATTTTAGAAGGAATATCTCAATATGTCCCACACCACTGAACCCCTAGAAATTTCACTGAGGTGGAAGGTGCCTGAATTTTTTGGGGATTAATTTCCCACCCTCTAGCACACAAATGTTTTACCAATAAGTCCAGAGTCATTGACACTTCTTTCTTACTAGATCTAATCAACATAATGTTATTAATGTAATGGACCAGTGTGACATCTTGTGGAAGGAAAAGGTGATAAGGTCCCTGCAGACTAAAGTATGACATAAAGCTGAAGTGTTGGTACTCCGCTGAGGTAGGACAGTGAAGGTGTATTGCTGGCCTTACCAGCTGAAGGCAACTACTTCTGGTGTTCCTTCAAAACCAGAATCAAGAAAAAGGCATTGGCCAGATCAGTAGCTGTGTACCAGGTGACAGAAGATGTATTAATTTGCTCAAGCAATGAAACTATATCTGGAACAGCAGCTGCAATTTGAGTAACCACCTGCTTAAGTTTACGATAATCCCCTATCATTCTCCAAGATCCATCTGTTTTTTGCACAGGCCAAATAGGCAAGTTGAATGGGGATGTGGTGGGAATTGCCACTACTGCATCCTTCAAGTCCTTGATGGTGGCAGTAATCTCTGCAATCCCTCCAGGAATGTGGTATTGCTTTTGATTTACTATTTTCCTAGGTAGGGGCAGTTCTAATGGCTTCCACTTGGCTTTTCCTACCATAACAGCCGTTACTCCTCTTGCCAGGGATCCTGTGTAGGGTTCTGCCAGAGCTGAGTGTATCTCTTCCAATTATGCATTCTGGAACTAGGGACATCACTACAGGATGGGTTCAGGGACCCATTGGACCCACTGTGTGACAGACTTGAGCTAAGACTCCATTAATAACCTGACCTCCATATACCGCCTCTCTGACTGGTAGGTCACAGTGATGTTTTGGGTCTCCTGGAATTAGTGTCAATTCAGAGCCAGTATCCAGTAATCCCCCCAGAATCTTATTATTTCCTTTTCCCCAATGAACAGTCACTCTCATAAAAGACCACAGATCCCTGGGGATGGCTGGGAGAAAGATTAACAATATACATTTTTGGCAGTATATTGAGGTCCTTCCTCAAGGGGACCTGGCCTCCCATTCATTCAAGGGGTTGTGGGTCTGTAAACTGGCTCAAGTCTGGGAATTGAGTGAGGGGCCATGACTCTATTCCAGCAATTCAAGTTAGACTGCCCTTCACTTTTACCTAGAATTCTTCTGCTTGTACAGATTGAGTAAATATACGGTAGATTTCCCATCGATTTCACTCCTAGGGACACCATGACTAGGAAGCCAATGCTGTAAGTCCATACAAGTCAGACTATTTTGATTACTACTTTGACTTGCTGTCCATTACAGTAACCACACTCAACTTGTCTTTGTAGATTGAGTGCTGCCACTTGGCCCCTACCTCCATGGGGTCCAATCAGCCTTATTGTAGTTAGGTATCTTAATTCAGTTAGGGCAGTTACCACTGTCAAATCTGACTTAATAAAATAGCAATGACAGCAGTCTTTAGGGACCCTGACGTTCCCTTCACAAATTCGTTCCTCACCGTTGTGGTAAAAGGTGTGTCCTCTGGGCACTCCATGTTTGGTCTATGAGTCTAACCTGATAAATCTACTCTAACATGCCAATTTCCCTAAGCCTTTGGATATCTTCTTCTACAGTATACCAAGGCAGGTCTGGTGCTTTGGCTGGATTTAGCATAGGCCACCACATAATCAATGCCTCAACAAGCCACCCAAATAAACTATTAGATCCTTTCCTAACCTCTTGAGCTGAAACATTGAATGAAGAATCTGTGTTTAGTGGATGCATATCAATAAACTCAGACTGATCCAACTTGATGTTCCTGGTACCATTATCCCACACCCTTAATAGCCATTCCCACATGTATTCCCCAGGCTTCTGTTTGTACATATTAGAAAAGTCAAGCAGTTCTGTTGGAGTGTAGTGTTCCTCCTCCTGAGTCACACTTTGTACTTCACCTTTTGGGGCTCACTGGGACTTAAGTCTAGTTATAGGTCTAGAAGCAAAAATGGGTGGTGGGGATGTATTCTGAGAACATTCAGCAATATCTTGTAAGGCATCTGCCTGAGGAGATTCCCAGGCAGTGACTCAGACGCTGCCCCAGGTGGTATCTCAGACAAAGACTCTTCAGACACAGCTGGGTTAATCTCATCAGATGTGGGTGAGAGGGCTGGTTCTGTTGGCAGGAGTGATTCAATGGAATTTAGGGGCTCAGTGTCCCCAGCTTCCTGATTATCTGCCCATATGTTCCCATCCCAAGTTTCAGGATCCCATTTCTTCTCAATCAATGCCCTCACTTTAACTTCAGACACCATTCAAGGTTGGGAATTCAATTGGCATTGTAATTAAGCCATTCTTAGGATAAGACTCTGGGTTTGTTTTTGGCTTGAGCTGGGAGTCTGAAACCCTAAGATCATCTCTTTCTTTCATCCGTTTGTCTAGCAAAAGTAGGACCAAATAACCAGCTTCCTTATACTTATCATTCTAACAAAATTGTAGAAAAATACCAAACGTGATCACCCAAGCCTCACCTCTTAACAATACTTGATCTATGGGTGGTGATATTTTGTGTATTTCTATCACCACCTCATGCCATGGATTAGCAGTGCCCTCGTTACTGCTGGAAGCAGAGTCATCAACATCTTTAAGACTAACCAGATTTGAGAATCAATTTAGAAAACTCATCCTTACCATTTTGTTTCTCTAGAACCACTCTTGGTACCAAATATCTTAGGCTGGGTTTTCTAGAGAAGTAAAACCAGTGAAATGTGTGTGTGTGTGTGTGTGTGTGTGTGTATACATACATATATACACATATATACATATATATATGCATATACATATATATATATGGACCTCTGGTGGTGCATTGGTTAAGAGCTATAGCAAACAACGGCTGCTAACCAAAAGGATGGCAGATCAAATCCACCAGACACTGCTTGAAAACCCTGTGGAGCAGTTCTGCTGTGTCCTGTAGGGTCACTATGAGTCAGAATCAACTTGATGGCAATGGGTTATGATTTTATACATATATATTATATATATGTATATATATATATATAGAGAGAGAGAGATTTATCTCAGGAAATGGCTCACACAGTTGTAGAGGCTGGCAAAGCTGGCAAGTCCCAAGTGTGTGGGTCAGGTGTCAGGCTGGAGGCTTCTCCTGACTCACGTAGCTGCAGGGACTGACAAATCCAAGATCAGCAGGCAGTAGGTCCCAAGAACTGGATGTTAGTTGATGACAAGCTGGATGCAGGATTCAGAGTGAGCAAAAGCCAGCAAGCTCTGCCAGAATGTCTGTATATATTGGATGCAGGCCACACCCCCAAGGAAACTCTCCTTACAACTGATTGGCTGATCACATCAGATCACATCATGTAGGTGATTACATTATATCAGAAAATAGAGGGTAAGTGCATCATTACATAACTGCCAAACTACATCATTTACGAAACTGCCAAATCACTGAGAATCATGTCCCCGCCAAGTTGACATACAACCTTAACCATCACAAAGAGGGAGGATGGAGAAAAAGAAGCAAAAATAGGAGGATACGTACTGTAAGGGGTGAAAGATAGAGCCACAGCATGGGAGTCAGGAGATGAACTTGGCTTTCCTTCCGCCGCTCCCGTGATCTTGGTCTCCTTCCCAAATTATAGAGTGGTTTTTTCCTCTGCCTCAGTATCTTCCTCTGTGCAGTGGAGATAATACCAGCTTTGCCTGCCTGGCATGGTGGTCAAGAGTGACTTTGTAAGGTGCTTTGAGAAGTTCAAATTACTTTACCGGTATGGCATCTATGATGGGAAGGCCTTCTTGATGGCCCCCATGCCACCCACCTGCACTGGTGTATGGGTCCTCAATTTCTGAGTCTAACCAATAGAGGGCAGCCGCCACCATCCACACCCCTGAGTTGGGAGGTAAGAGAGTGAAGAAAAGGCATGGCAATGCTTATAGGGTAATTCCCAAATGCATTTTCATCTGACACCAACAACTATGGTACTACAGTAACTCCTAAGAGATTTGCTGTGTTCCGAATCACCAATTGATTATTTCCAGAACACCCAAATAACGCGTGGCTGGTACAAGTCGTGTTTTATACATTTTAAGGTGTTATGGGCTAGTGACCCAGAATGTAGAGAAAGCCTGCCCTCCCTGTTCCTCTTTGGTCCTGTTTGTAAATTGGTATATTTTAATATGTATGCACATCATAATCCCAGATTACATAATTGTCTTGGTTGCAAGTGTTCACCTGTCTGGTCTAAATTCAATTTGCAAGTGTTCCTGTTTGGGTCTGTATAAATATTCATTAATGATGAGGTCAGAGGAAGCAGTAGAATTCAGTAAAGGATCTTTATGAACACAAACCACAGGCTTATCCTAACCTGGGGGGATGACAGTAGGGGCAGGGCTGGCTCAGGATCACATTTCAAGGGCTTAGAAGAAATCAGACTGAGCTTAAATGAAATGAGGCAATGAGCTAGTGCAAGATGTTAATGAAAGGGGGAAATACAAGCCCAATGACGAATGTGCTGTTTCTTCAGGACCTTGCTGCTATCATTTATCGTGGTAGTTTCCCTAAGTGCAGTGGAGACTGGTGAAAAATCTTTATGCCAATAAAAATATTTGCAAGCCACTTTTCTTTGGGGTGGGGGGTGGTGTAAACCCACCTAGAAGGCTGACTTACACACTGGTGAACTGGCAAATCAAAATAACCACAGAATTCACCTTCCAACAGGGGAAGGGTGCTGTGTAAATACCGAGAATTATTTTCATTAGTCCATGGGTCACACTTGAACAGCTTCTACTGCTGGGGTTTATTGGCCCTGGCATAGGTCTTTGCGTTCTGGAAAGGGGGAGGGGAGAGCTGCTTCAGTTACAGACAAAATAGATGACTATCCTGGTGCCAATTAACCTCCCTGTAATTGATAATTAATTTTAAAACCTATTTACTCTCCCTGGAACAGCTGAGACTTTAAAAAGACCACTGTGAAAACAAATGGAGAATAAAGTCATCTCTCAGGAAATAATGGGGGCCTCTCGAGGGGAATGGTGGAGCCCTGGTGGTGCAGTGGTTAAAGCGCTCAGCCACTAACCGAAAGGTTGGCGGTTTGAACCCAGCAGAGCTCCGAGGGAGAAAGATGTGGCAGCCTGCTTCTGTAAAGATTTACAGCCTTGGAAACCCTATGGGGCAGTTCTGCTCTGTCCTGTAGGGTCACTATGAGTTGGAATTGACTCGACCGCAACGGGTTTGGTTTTTCGAGTCTCAAGGAATGAGAGAGAACAGGCCTCTTGAGTGAGCCATTTTATTCAAGGATTCTGGATGTCCATGAAGGTGACAGGCCAGAGTCACGGGATAGTGACTTTCTTCTATGTTCTCTGTCTCTTTACGTCCCCTGCCCTTCAGTCTCTGGTAGGATGTCTTAGTTTCCTAGGGCTGCTATGACAAAATGTTACAAGTGGGTGGCTTTAAAGAACAGAATTCATTGACTCACAGTTTTGGAGGCTGAAGTCCAAATTCAGGGCGTCAGCAGGGCTATGCTGTCTCTGTGTCAGCTCTAGGGGAAGGTCCTTCACGGTCTCATTCCGCTTCTGTAGCCCTGGGCATTTCTTGGTGTTCCTTGGCCTGTCGATGGGTTCTCCTGTGGTGTTCCTCCTGTGTGTCACTCTCTTTAAGACACCACTCAGAAAGAATTAACACTGGGACCCACCCTTGTTTGACTCAACTGGTAACAAAAGAAAAGCCCTATTTCCGCAAACAGGGTCGCATTTACAAGTACAGAGGTTAGGACTTCAGCATATCTTTTGGGGAGATACAATTCAGTCTATAACATAGGATGACCAGCCATTCCGATGTGCCTGGGACTGAGGGTTTCCAGGAATGCAGGGCTTTCAGTGCTAAAAACAAGAGAGTCGCACCCCTACTCCCAGGCATACCCTCTAGGTTGACTTTTACAGTTACCTCGCTCCTTTAGACTCCAGGCATTTGCCTCAGTCCCCCCTCAACCCTACTTGGCAATGCTCCCCTCCCTGCTTCAGCCCCAGGACTATGTAGAGCTTACTGAGTGCTGGGACTGCAGCCCTGGTGAACGTCCAGAGAGACGGGGTTATCAAATGCCTTCCTTTTGTTAATTATTTAGAAATAGGTTTGTTATTATTATTTTTTGACTATAAAAGCAACTAGAACATGCTGACTGGAATAAGAATACCAACAAACTCAGGCAATGGGTAGATAATCATGAAGAGAAAAACAGATCACCCTGAATCTCAACCCCTGTGGACAACACTGTCAATATTTTTGTGAAGATCCTTTTATTAATCTTTCAAACACTGGAGTCACATACCTTTTGGTCAATGTCATATTTCATTCATCCACTCTTCAGTGGCCTGGGAAAGAATGTAACTGTGTCTCCACTGCCTTTAATTGTTCAAGATACTTGGAAGAGACCCAAACATGGAGATTCTACAATTTATAACATAATCTGATGTTGGCTTTGGTATTTTCCACTGTTGCTAATGAAAAATGCAGTTTGCCTTGTCTAGAATTCAGTCCAAAAAGTAAGAGAATTTTTCACTTAATGCTAATTAAGAATTATTTTTGGGAGGGTAAGAAAATTATTAGCTTAATGAGTGAACTTGACTGTGCTCAGGATGTGATGTGAGATGTCTTGGAGGGCTGTCCTTGGCCACAGTATAGGCCTATTGACCAACCAGTTACTCCTGCAGAGTTTAAATGAGGTAAACTAGAATCCCCCCTCCTCCCTTGGGATCTCTGAGTTTCACAGGAGGCACTGTGATTCAGCATACACTACAAGATCTGTGAGTTTGAAACCTCCAGTTCCCTGCTGAGATGTGAATGTAATCATCTACCAATGTCTGGCAGGGGAAGTGGTAAAATACCTAAGTACCATATGAGTGCAAATGCCTTTTCTATATACAACCCGAAGAATGTAACCAATGTTACATTCTGTTAGTGAACTTGACTGAACTGAACTTGTTGGTCAGTAGGTCTAGACTGTGGCCAGGGACAGCCCTCCAAGACATCTCATGTCACATCTTGAGCACAGTCAAGTTCATGCATTAAGCTGATAATTCTCTTACTCTCCAATGTTACTTGTACAATAGATGCTCCAGTCAGCTTCTATCCAATTAAATAATGGAATCTTATGACTCAAAGGAATCTCTGGAGATCCCGAGCTTCTGGAAGTACTGGACTTACATAATACTTGTCACTCATTTATTCACTTATTATTTTATTTCCTTCCTTCCTTCCTCCTTCCCTCCCTCCCTGCTTCCCTCCAGTTAAAAGCATAGACTCTAAAGCTAGACTATCTGGGTACAAAGTCTTGCTCTCTAATTTACTAGCTGTGTGGCCTTGGGCAAATTAGTTAACTTCTCTGTGCTCAGTTTTTCTCATCTGTAAAATAGGGAAAATAATAGTACCTACCGCACAGGGTTATTTAGTGATTCAATGAATTATTGTGCATGTAGCACTTAAAACAGCCCTAGCATATAGGAGCTCAATAAATGCTGTTATTATAATTCATTCATCCAGCTAATATTTGTTGAGTTATTATTATGGAGTGGGCATTGTGCTAGAGTGTGCAGACCTTGCATCAATGAGAAAACATGATCTCTGCCCTCCTAGAGTCTATATTCCAGTGAAGTGAGATGGTCAATAAACAATACACAAAAAAGTAAAATAATTACAGATTGGGGTACATCCTCTGAAAGAAATAGACAGGGTGCTACCATAGAGAATAACGAGGGAGATGTGCTCTTTGGCTATAGGATGGTCCAGGAAAGCCTGTTTGAGGGGGTGATGTTTAAGCTGCGATCCAGGGGTCGGGGACAACTTTCCAGGCAGAGGGGATTGCTGGAGCAAAGTCTGGAGTTGGGAAGGAACTTGGTGTGTTGGAGGAAATGAATGGAGGCCTCTGTGGCTAGAGGAGAGCTAGAGGGAGCGTGAGATGGATGAGGTTGGAGAGCTGGGCAGAATCCCATTGTATAAGCCCCGTCACTTTTTTTTTTTTTTTTTTTT